AAGACATTGCAAAGTTAGCTTTTGTTGCAGCCCTAGTCTGCTCTGCTGCTCTGGCATGTGCAGGTAACACAAGGGTTCAAATAAACTATAGGAATGTGATGAAATGTGTTGAAGAGGCGCTTGGAGCCACAGAGAGTGACAGAAAAAGATAGCAGTGAGCCAAAAGTACGGCGGGAAAAAGAGTGTAAAAGTGTCACATCGATGCTACTTTTTCTGAGAGAACGAGAGAGGTGACAGGCCAGCGGTGGAATAAGAGTGAGAAGTGGGCAGTCAGAGGTAGATTCAGCTACTCCCGGTCCACCGACTGCATGGTCGCTGATGTGGTGATTGGAGATCCATTGATCCAGTTAAAGTCATTAGGAGGCCAGAAGGTCAGCCAGCCGTCTCTGACCTGCGTTAATCACTCCCTAATTGAAGGGAAATTACTCAGATTTAGTTTCCTGCCATGCTCAGAGTGGCCCCGGATGCCAGATATGACGAGCACTTCACTCACCAGGCCACATCTCATTAAGCATGTTAACTGTATGTAAACTGCTCTGACTCAGCCTCAGGACAGAGCGTGCAGCGGTGTGCCAAAGGTTAGAGCGCCATCACAGAAAGGTTGTTGCCGGACAATCAACACGAGGGCAGTCGGTCAGAGGGGAAACGGCAATTTGCAGATTAAGTATAGTCAAATTGTCATCACTGATATTCAAATTGAGGTTTTGCATAGAATTTGTTATTGCGCCGTGTGCCATATGTTGTTCAAGCAAAAGAATGACTGAAGTGAACTAGTTTGATTCCTTTCATTTCAAGGCTCCTTTCCTCTAAAAACAGAAATGACCCTTTGCTGTACTTCATATTGTATTGCAATGCACCAAGTAGGAATTACTTGGAATTACATCATCCCGTGATTTGCATTCTTTAACACATTGTAATGAGGTAGTCGTGAAAATGTCACCAGGCAGAGTGCACCGTGAACCAGGACATGCTATGTTTACAGATAAATAAGATGCTTATTTCAGATTACGCCATGTCACCGCTGTTATTACCTCCTGCTTTATTACATCTCTGTCAGTGGCTCAACAACATCACGTCTCCAAACGATAACCTCCGGTAGCTGACCGCATCACATGATCTGTAATATGACGGGCTGAATTTCATGCAGTGTGTTTGCCTCCTTTAAACTGCTCACTGCTGTGCCACTGAGGGGAGATGAGGGAGAAGCTGGGAGGGGAGGGGGTTACAGATGCAATGTGGTAAATAGATAGCGACCACGGATACTTGGAAGCTCAGAGGTAATAAAGACTATGACCTTTTACAGTAGACAGACTGGTTTGCATCTGGACTCTGTGGTCTCAGCGCATGCGTCTGTGACCAAAGGCCAGCCTATACATGCTCCCACCTGAGCCCAACTTTTTCCACAGCCGACTCACCTCTCCTCCCTTAAAGGGACAAATTGCACACAGATGCACAAATATATCAGCACTCGAAAGACAATGTGAAGGCAAAACGATTCGTCACTAGTCATGTTTGCTGCTCTCCTCCCCGGTCCTCGTCCTCACAGGCTGAGCAGAGATAGCAGCCTCATCAAGAGGTGATGACGAAGCCGACAGCTTCACAACAGAACATAACACCCTCGCTAACCCGTCACACTGCTGTCACAACCGAGGGCTGCTCCTGTCCACCTTGATATGTCAACTTTCTCCTTTATCTATACTGCAAGATGTTCTGAATACAGAGAAATGGGCCCCGACTGCAACATCACGACAACAGAATGAATCCGATTCTCACGGTTCACCGTCCACAGGGATGCTTTATATTTGGACCATCTATCATGAATAAACCACACTGAATTAACGGGAAGAAACGACGAAGAGCTGTGCTCACGCCCTGTAAATAGCAACAGTGCCAACTGGTTTCTTCTGCAAATGAAGCAAGTGTTAACGGATTATGAATATTCATCAAGGCCTCACCTTTCCCGTGATGGTGCTTTGGAGGATCAAGAAACCAGGGAGGAGCAGAAGTGCATGATGCATTCTGCAAAGGAAGGGTTAACGATCACCATCACCTTTCCTTCAGTATAAAACCTTTCTGGCAAATGAGAAACACTGAACCAATTACTCTAATGAACTGATTCTGTTCCCTTGCCGGTTTGGGCTCTGTGCTAAAGAAGCCTTTTATCATTTTGCTGTGCGAGCGCTGTAATATTGTGATTTATTCCAGAGACACTGAAGACAGCAGCAGTAAAATGTATTAGGCGGGGAGCTTTCTGGCTCATACACAAAGTAGTCATTATCAATCAACTCCGCCGGCCTTCATTTCCTGCCCAGCTCCGTCACTGATGAGGACGGATAACTATTTTCAGTGCACTTTGTTCACTACCAACAAGTTCTTGTTTTTTTAACTCTCTCTAGTTGATTTCTGCTGCCTTTAAAGTCATTCACTAAGTATGTATTTATCATATTTTAAACTGAGGTACCATAGTAGGACAAATTCTGAATTCGTCACACCGTTACTCACATGCAGACCAACAGCTTCAGTGGCACCAAACACACAAATACTTTCTATTCTTGCAAAAGTCAACTTGTTCCCAGAGCATGAAATGGAAAACATCAGACTGACTTCACTGGAAACCAAAATGCACTGACATGGAGAAAGCGTGGCAGAGAACATCCTGTTTACTCTGTGTAGAGCGATGATCCCCACCCAGTGGAGGGCCTGGCGCAGTGTAAAGCAACAGCATCACTGATTTCTCAATCTCTAACTGAAAGTTACAGGACGGGAAATCTAAATTCCAGAGCAGCAGTAAAGTGAACCCATTTGTGGGGAAATGTATTGTGAAATCTTTTGCTAGGCAAATTCCATGCAAGACTTCATTATTTATTCCTCTTTTATTGCAAACCGCCAAGCAGCAACAGATGCTTGCAGAATATGTGAATCAAACCTGGCAGAAAATTGCATCTGTGCTTCATACATGAAGGGGGGGGGGGGGGCAAAAACCTGGTTAGCCAATGTACTGTAAAACCAGGGCTTACTGTGGGGTCTAAAATCCCTGCATGACAGCACTGTAATTTCATTTATCACGACTCAGCACACACCAAATCAGACATGGATGATCCCCATTCTGAACCGAGTGTGCAGGTTTGCAGTTGGGCTGGGGGGGGGGGGGGGGTCAGAGAGGCAGCAAAGGAACACCTGCAATAGTGGTGGTGGTGATGGGCATTCGATTTCCACTGTTGTAGCGGCTCCTCAAGTGGAACAAATTCATCACGCAAGAGCGGATACACGGGGACCGACAGGTAAAAACTGCAGACGTGCGAGGGCTTTAGTGGAGGAGCGAAGAGAGAGAGGCAGAACAAACAGAAGTATTATGGCTACATAGAGCAACAGAAAGCAGACTCTGGTGACATTTTCTTCACGGAAACAAGGCCCAATTTTCCCCCCCCTCTCTCTCATTAAGGGGCCGGATTGTGAGTGTTACAGGGTGTGGAGATTTATTTTACACGGTTACCATGAGGTGTTCTCAAATAAACTTTGGATTCAAGTCCATTTCCAAGAAGCACATGAACATATTTAACACACCCTTCTTTGCAAAGTGGTGGCTGGTAATCGTCTGATGATGCCGGCTGAGCTGCCAGCCTATCCAGGTCAACCTGCTCAAGTACTCAGATTTAGGATTAAGTTTTACTTCGTGGCATCACTAAATTAAAACTATTTAATCAAAAGAACTAACTGTTAGTTCTTACATAGAGATTAGAGTAGTTGTCACTAGCGTGCCAAATTTCATGAGCCAACTGACAAAGCTGACATTGACAAGAGAAAAGGGTAAAAAAATAAAATTAAAAAGCAATATTAACTACAATTTCAAACCAGCCAATATCAGTTTTCACAATTAGGTATATTCCACATCCAAATATGTATGCATAATATAAATAAAACAAAGTGATACCTACACTTACGAAGGATTAGTAAATGTCGTTAAGCTTAGTAAGTCGATTGAATCCCTAAAACCGATTTTCTTTTTGCGGTTACAGTAAAAGGTTAATGTGTGTTTAGCTCAACGTTTGTTGTAAAGTGCGATAGATGTTTCTTGGCAACTAATTACACTACTAGTCTTTATTAGCAAAGTAATAAAGATGTTTTTCTGAAGTTTTAATTGTGCAACCAGATTGAGTAATTTACCAGTTTTAAGGTAGCTGACTCAGTGGTGAGCAGAGTTTAGAAAGGACGAACGTAGACAAACAGACGGATTACGATTGGTTTGTGGAAAGTGATCCGGCAGCTTTTGGTCCTTTGAAAATGAACTTGTGATTTGCCTCCGTTAACAAATCAGTCTTCATAGAGTCAAAAACAAGGCAATTAGTAGACTGCAGACATGTTAACTGCATAGCAGGAAAATAGACGGAGCACGATACAGGACACGAGCTGGAACCAGTTATCTATGAATCTATGTTGTTATTACGCCTGGGCTTCTCTTGCTAGAAATGTCAGTCTCCAACCATGATGTTACATGAACATATACAGACGACACCCTGAGAAAAAATAAAAATTCATACTAAGAAATGTAGTTTGTTGAAATCAGTTCGTCACTGTGTGACATAATCAAAAAGGTACCAACAATGGTTTCAGACTAGAGGGAAACTAAGCCAGTGTCAGTATGGGAGACGACAACAACGCTGCTATGAGCTGCTTTTATGCTCCGACTGAGTATTTAAACACAAAGGCGTCGGGCTTCAGGATCACATCAGTCATTACACGTTGTGACTGTACTCGATTGATCGTTTGTCTGACTCACAGCTGGGATCAATGTCGGTGTAAACTGTGGGATGGATTTCAACCCTCACAGAATCGTTAGGGACTCACTTGATCGACTATCAAATTACTAAACATTTCGATAGAAAATGTCTAATAATAAGATTGTACTTTGGTGTGATTACACACAATTAACACATTGAATTTTGATGAAATGAATTAACTTCAAGTGATGATTAAAACACTGTTAAAAGAGACAATGGACGCAATTTTATGCATTTATTCATGTAGTTATTCCACTCTGATTCAAAGGCTCAAGGCTGGGTCAGCGATTTAATAGCCAAAAATACTCTAGAATTTATGGTTAACTGTTTTTTTTTTTAATCTCCTTCAGGTTTTCGCTTCAGTTTTTTGTACCATCCTTCCTTAAAAATGCCACAAAACTTTGAAAAGTGCATTTTTTGTGAATATCTCCAAAACTTCTCAAGTTGTTCATATACCCCCGATAGAAATGTTCCCCGTTATCAAGGCTTGTGAGGTCACAAATTTGCAACAAGAAACAACCAACATTTTTTTCCCCAAAGGTTTTATAACCATCCTGTTCAAACAACATTCTCTTTTTTCTTTTTACACAGCCAGAGAACAAAAAAGATTAAACATAATAAACTCCCAAACCTTTTGTACAGAGAAATCAAACTAAATGAAGAAAACGTCTCTTATATTAGTCCATGTTTTATCCTCTGAATCCTCTCTTGCATTTGCCATTAAATTGGGAAGGGACACACAATTGTGTCAACATGAGGCTCTCTGTGTTGTACGCGATGTCAATCAGTCCATTTCACTTGCTGGTTTTATCGGTTTTATATGGAACAGAAACCAGTAAGTCTAGGCCATTCAACAAGTAAGTCAGTAATGTCTATGATAGTGTGTGCGTGCGTTCAAAGGTTATCAGTGTGAATGTGTCTGGAGTAGGCAAATCTAAATCAAGTGTTTGTATGCATGTCTGTGTGTGTTACGAGTCTCAGTCTAGGCCAGTCCGAATCCCTCGGAGCATTCCTGAATGGCCAACAGCAGCATGTGTCTCAGCTTTTCATAGCTTTCATACGCTGGGAGGTCCAGCTGGTTAAAGCTGAGTGAAAAAGAGGGAAAAGAACAATGTTACAATTTCACAATTTTGTGTTCTGCCAATGTTGTTCTCACTATGTGTGCCTTGCTGTGTTTACCAGGTATGAGCAGATGGCAGGCGGTCAGTGGAGCGATCGTCACGGTGGATCTGGAACTTCTGGATGCCGTTCATGCCCTCCAGAGCAGCGAAACCCTGGAGGGGAACCTTGGATGTGCCAGTGACAAACTGAAGGAACTTGGCCCGGTCTGCCTGGTCAAAGGACCGCAAGGCCCTCCAGAACCACTGGATCTATAGTAAAAAAAAAAAAAAAAAAGGTTTTAAAAAATGAAACGCGCAAGAGAAAAGCAGCTATTATAAATGTGTCCCAACATAGTGTTGTCTTTGTTTTATTCTGCCCTGGGGAAAATGGTTTACCTCCACAAATAAAATGTGTCTTCATAAGTTCTACTGAGCTAGACGCGAGTACAGAATCGGCATTGAAATTAACATTGAAGGGAAAAGCCTTAAATCTCTGATTTACTGTTGTCAACTCCTAACACACCCGTAGAAGTTCTCTCAGAAGTGTGTAGAAGTACATTAAAATAATGAGCACACGTGTTCACACATCCATACCTGGATGGAGCTGGACTGGTATTTGTGATATTCAGTGTTGGCCTTCAGGTCATCGATGTCGATAGTGGGCAGGCCAGAGATGAGCAGCTCCAGTTCCTGCTCAGTGAAGATGGAGATCAGCCTCTTGGGGATGATCTCGTAGAATCCCTCGAGGAAGGCTGCCAGCTGCTTGCGGATTGCACCTAGAAAACAAATTATATACGTTATGTTAACGCTGAGATCTTTCTGTAGTGAATACAGCATTCTTTATTTTTAATGCAACTAACATTATTTCATCAACCACTTTGGTGGCCATTTTTTTCTTCAATTAAGCGGCTGCAAATTCAAAGCTTCACTAAACAATGTATTTGAGCAGCTGCGTATGATAAATCAGCCATCTTCCAGAAAGAAACTCCTTCAGCTCTCTGCTGCATTTACAGCTCAAAGGAGTGCTGCCACCTAGTGCACCATGTGTATATACACACACACACACACACACACGTGTATACGTAAACACACACACACACACACACACACGTGTATACACACACACACGTGTATACACACACACACGTATACACACACACGTATACACACACACGTATACACACACACGTATACACACACACGTATACACACACACACGCGCACACGTACACGCCCGGGCGTACACACGCGCGCGTACACGCCCGGGCGTACACACGCGCGCGTACACACGCGCGCGTACACACGCGCGCGTA